CTGGACCCCAACTTTCTTGAATAAAAGAGGCAAGGATTTAAGTTTGTTCATTTTTTGTTAATGTTTGGATAGTTGATAAAGAAAATTAGATGACACTCTAAGGGCATTTGTGCCTTTTTTCAAAGGCATTTAATGGCTGGTTAATAGGTAATTAACAGTAGGTATTGGATTGACACTTTTTGAAAGTTTAGATATTGAATTGTCGCATTTTAAAGTACGAGGACCAAAGTGGCACTAGGCCCAAGTACAGTGCCAAAATATATACAATATTTTATATATGCCTCTATTTTTGTTATATATTTATATATTTTTTATATATTATAAATATAAAAAAACAAAAAAACTAATGAATTAAACCAACGATTAATCGAACCAGTCAACCGATTGACTTCAATTCGATTTTGGTTACAGGTTCTAGTAATATTGATTCGATTTAAAAAATAGACCCACGGTTTGGTTAACCGAACCGCGAGCACCCCTATCATACAGCACAGAGTGGGACATGTATAAATACTTTTAACCTTGCTTGCTTGAAAGCTAATTTTTGAAAATTTATTCACACACACACAATATATATAGTCCATGTCACCATGCCTCTAAAAGCAAAAGGAAGGCCTCTACCAAATGGAATCTTTTTTTATATAAGCTAAATGAAATCTTATAATCTTTCCCTTTTCCCTTTTCATGCTTTTAACTATTACCATTACAAATTTAATTAATTACAATAATGCTATTGAATAAAACACAAAACAAATCATAACTTGTCCTAATTATTTACAATGGTGCTAATGATAACTATTTACAATGATGTCACTTTACCTTTTTCACATTTGTTAAAAATTGTCTTTTATCTCTCATTTTATTTACAATCGGGTTGTGTTGGGCCGTGCTATGCGTGCCGTGCTTCCCTTCCCTGGGATACTTTAGGGGGTCAGCTCGACACAGCCCTTGGCTTGAGCCCGTGCAAACCTGTATCATGCTTCAGGTCGGGTTGGTTTATGGGCCACGTTAGGCCATGAATTGGGCTAATCCATGTTTTTTAAAAAATTGGAAAAATAATGAAAAAGTTAGCATAAATTAAAAAATAGATAAATTTTGATGTATACAATTGTTTATACATGCAATAATAAAATGAAATAATATAATATTGAAAATAAAATTATATATTATATAATTATTGTATATAATATACGGCACGAGCCCGCGCGGGCGATGCTGTGCCACAGGCCAAGTCTTAGGCCAGGCCGACCACGAACCAGGCTAAGCCATGTTTTTTAAAAATTTTGAAAATAAATAATGAAAAATTTAACACAAATTTAAATAAATAGACAAAAAATAAAAAAAGATCTTAAATTTTTTTATATGAATTTTGATGTGTATATTATTTATATATGCAATAATAAAATGAAACAATATAATAAAATAGAAAATAAAATTATATATTAATATAATATATAATTATTGTATATATATGGCCTGAGCCTGTGCAGGCCCATGCCATGCCACAGGTCGAGCTAGTCCATGGGCCAAGTCTTAGGCCAGGTCGAGCCACCAATTGGCTAAGCCATGATTTTTAAAAATTTGAAAAAAATAATGAAAATTTTAGCATAAATTAAAAAATATACAAAAAAATTAAAGAAGATCTTAAAATTTTATTTTAGCTTGAGCCCACACGAGCCCGTGTCGTGCCACAAGCTGGGCCACGAACTGGGCTAAGCCTGTTCATGGGCTTGATAGCTAGTAGTTCAGCCCGAGCCATTAACAACACTAAATTAATTAATTAAATAATTTGAGATAGGCTTTACCAATCTTATGTTAATAATACATAAAGCTTTTTTTTATTTACTTATTTTACTAAATTATTTAATTAGTTAATAATTTAATAACCGAACAAATTATTATTGCTAGAAAAGTAAGACATAGAACCGTGTATATATTTATATATATTTACTCCTTACTTGATTGTCTATTTATCTCATTTATTTATTTATTAAATTAAATTAATTATTATTGAACTATTTACAATTATTCCACTATATGAAACAAAAATACAATTACAAAAGTTATCTCTCCCTCTTTCACTGTATTGCCCGATGACTGTGGTTATTTATTTATTTTAAATAGATTTTTTCCAATAAACTTTTAATTAAAAAATTTACAACGCAGGGCCCCTCCGCTAGTGTCATTTGGTGTTGTTTTGACAAACCAAATCATACACGTTGGCCAACAGTCCCTTACTGTGTTGATTGTAGGAAACTGTCTTGTTCGTTGTGCCTAGTGTGTGTTTTTGCCTTGCCGGTTACTGGTCGATCCTGATCGGACTCCATCAGATAACCGCCCACGGTACACTACAAAAGTATATAAAAGGGAAAAGGTTAAGTCGTATATCATAGAAATCGCCAAAACGTAAAGAAAGAAAAAAGGTGAAAAACAAAACGTAGGTTGGAGAAAAATGGCGGGAGCTCTTTCTCTGGCTACTGCGGCAGAGAATCTTGTGACCTCACTCAACGCCATTAAAGACCACTGGGAGGTCGAGTATTCCCGCTTCTTCAACCTTCCTCCTCCCTCGTCTTCTACGTCTCTCACTCTCAAACCTCTCGGAACATCCAAACGCAGCCGTTGCAAAGGAACCTGGATATCTTCTTCTTCAACTGCTGCTCTGCATCTCCTAACCTATCACCCGAGTCCTGAAGTGATCGTCGTCGTTACTCTCCGAGGAAAGATCCATGTGAGTCAAGAAGAAACCGAGATGCTGACGAGCTTCTTTTCTTTTTCCTTATGCATTTGTTTAAGTTTCTGGAGGTTTCCTGGTTTTCTAATTCATTTAACCGGGCTTCAATCGCTTCACGTCAACAGTTTCGATGTCAGAGGTTTATACGTTCTTTTTATTCGTTTTGTTCAGTTGCGCTTCAACACGTTCTCTTTGCAGTCTCGATTTCCAGAGTTTTTATTTTCATTTTTTATTTGCGCCGATGGTTTCAGGCTTTGTCTGGATTAGTCGTTAGTTTTTACTATTTTCTATTTTCATTTTCCGTTTTCCTCTCGTATCGACTTCATAGAACTTTATCCCTATCCGGATCCTATTTTCTTGTTCTCTTCTTTAAGATACGTGAATCATAATTTTTGGATAGCACATCTTTTTATATCCTTAGATGAATTATTTGTATATGTAAGCTTGAACAGGTTTGCGTATTACTGCGATGTTTGTGTAAAATACCTCTGCCATGTCCTTTCGTATTCTGAACGAGAAATTCATACAATTAACACAGAAAACCTCTGTGGATTCATTTTACCTTTGGTTATGCGTGCCTTTTGTACCGTAAACTCTTCAAATTATGTAGGCATTTGATTTATCAGGTTAATGGATACTGTGGCCGTTGATGCCTATTTTTTTTTCATGAAAATTGCATTTAAGTGGCTTGTTTCTCGTTGTTGCTCCGTTCACTTCTTGATTTTTCTTATTCTCATTCACCGAAATTGCATTGAAGGATTCCTGAACCTGCATTTGGTTTATTTAACTTCACTATTTATATTGTCATTCTCCATGAGGGTTATAGGCATGGGACTTCAAGTCTCTTGGAATTTCAAACTTCCTTTTTCTTATATATTTGTTTTTCAATAGCTAGTTTATACTGTATCTCCTTTCTTTTTCTATTATGAGGCAATTAGTTAAATGTATTTTTGAAAATGCTGGATTATTTGCTATTGGGCCATCCTTCAGATTCAGATGTTTTAACAGAAAATTATGTTTCTTCATTGTTATTTTTAACATATGGTGCAGGAAGAGCACTTCATTTCCAATCTGCAATTTTCCTGGCCTCAGGTATCATGCGTCTATCAATGCCCTACCAGAGGGAGCAGAGTTGTATTTGCAAGCTACAGAGACTGTGAAGGACAGGCAAGCTTTTTATCTCTCACTTTCTTCAAGATCACTACTGATAAACTTGGTATGTGAAGGATTGATTGGCTAAAAGTTTCGTTTCTACTTTTGGTGATACCATAACCCCGATGAATGCTTTCATACTTACTTCACTGCAACAGTTTGTAAGGAGTAGCTGATTTGCAGTCACAATCTTCTACAGTGGAAAAGAATGTGATGGTCTAGGTCCTAGGGAATACATATTTTACTATTTATTTTTCAGGAGTTCACCTATTTCCAAATAGTGTTTCTTGTGACATCAATGCATTAGAAACAAAAGAGTATACATAAGAGTGAACCTACAGTTTTTTATACCTTTTCTGCATATGAATTATACTGCAGGCAGTTTTTTCATCCGGTGATGAGAAGTATAAAATTACCACATGCAATTATGACTTTTAATGAGGAGGAGTAAATGCTCTTTCCTTCCAAGCCCACATTTTAGTTCAACATTCCAAACCAAATAAGCAACTGCAAATCTTATTAACTAGTAAACCTTAATTGTCTTTTAATGTCATACACAGTTGTGCATGATTAAAAAATTGGTAAGATGATGTTCTCTTTACATCTTTTAAATCCCCATCAAAACAACATATATACATGGTTGAGATATCAAATCATGTCATTCCAAAGTTAGTTATTGGTTTGTTGATATTTGGATTATATCCTCTTGCTTTTTGTCAGTTGTACTGTGTTATTTGAGGCTAGCTTTTGTGATTTTGTTTTATTTTATTAGGCCTCTTTAGTGTTATCCTCCATTACAGCAACCTCTATTAGTGCTTTCCGTGGCTTTGCAGATCCAGAAGTTTGCCCTACGGTTCTCTACATCTTGTGAAGCAGAGAGGTTCATAAATGCTTTGAAGGTATAGTCATCAAAACTTGTAATCCTAACAGAAGTTATGGTCTTCAATGCCATATGAAATATAAGCACCAATGGTCTGACCTTGCTTCTGCAACCTTTCTTTGCCTTTTTAGGAGAGGTTGAAGGACATAGTAAACATCAGGTATCCACTAGGAAATTTCGGATCTGAAATTTCATCTCAATCTGAGTTAATCTCTTCTAGTGTGCTCCAAAACAGGCATGATCTCTGCACTTTCTGAAATCCTCTTTTTTGTGATATAAAAGAGAAATGTAAGATATTGAAGTATGGTTTGATTCATGAGGATTATGGCTATTGCAGAACTGATGAGGAATTGAGCTGCCTGACTCCTGTTGATACATATACCCCTCAGACTGCTCAACCAAACTACAAGGGTGAGCAGCAAACATGTTCCCAGGAACCAGAACCAGAAGTTGATCATAACTTTGATGGAACATTTGAAAGCTTGCCTCCTAGCTTCACAGCACTGCTTACCAGCTGTTCCTCTGAGGCTGAACAAGGTTGATTGGTTGCACATACCGCAAATACAAGTATTCTTATTTCATTTGAATACCTGACTTTTCTAATTGACATAGATACTGCAGAGAAACAACAGGTAGCTGAGGAAGTTGACCTCAAGTCTCAGATCACGGTATCCTTCCAAACTCTGGCATTCAACATCCTTAATTGATGTGGTTTCTACTACTTCACAGTTTCACATGTTGCCTATGATTGTGCTGGATTGGTTTGGGAGCTCTCCGGACTTCTATAGTTGTATTTGTCCACTAGAGAGTGACAAGAGCAATTCCAGTGGACATTTTAGTCCAATAATTTTTTTTAATCTCCCCTTTACCTTTGCCTTCCATTTACGTATTTATTTATTTCTTTTTGTTGCAGAAATACATGTCGGATACTTGCTTCAGTGGTAAGTGGAATTCCTTACATGTACTAAATAACTGCATTACCAACAGGACATGGCTGGACAAGGTGTTGACATGAAATTTACACTAAAAATTTAAGTGTCTGACAGTGTTGGCATTTATTAGTTACCTTTCTGGAACTAAACTGTTCCACTCAATATGATGCTGTTTTCTTCTTGCTTGCCTTGGCTAGTTAGATGGCTGAGGTAGCACGGTTTGTACATTTATTTGATTTGACCAGACTAGTATCTTGGGACATGTATACGTTGATTACCTTGTGTTGCCAAATGACTTGATCTATACTTTTTTCTTGGAGAGAACCAACTGCTTGATCCATTCCAAAAATAATTAAAGCTTCCTTTGGTATAGCCCTTTCCACTATATTTTAAGAGGAGTTGCTGATTGTATATGTTTTTTGTTCTTTTCAGAGATGCTGAACAAAGTTGAGAAAGTTATCTTTCAAATGGGAGGGGAATTGGCACTATAAATCTGTAATTACAGTAAAAAGCTCTCTCTCTCTCTCTCTCTCTGTCTTCCTTGTTATGAGTTGGCCTTTACATGGTATGGCTGAACATTTTTGGATGGTTGATTGATTACCACACTTGTGCTGTGGTGGTATTGGAAGTGTAGAAACTACCCTACGCTTATAAAATAGGATAGGGGGAAATGAAACAATTGAAGCAGCCAATGCTTTTGATGTCTGTAGTCTACTTGTAATAGAATTTTAAAAATCATTTTATACCAGATCTGATTCTCTGAATCATTTTGGTTGTGTTTGACATCATTGATCCTAGGCGTTTGATGTCTTCATTTAAAGTCCATATTTCAATTACATGGATTGCTTGCCAGGAAAGGATGAGATGAGCCAAACCATATGGATATATGATAAAAACTCGTACAATTGTAAAATTTATTACAAGTACGTAACTCTCTCTCTCTCTCTACTAAACCCTCCCCTACTTTTAATTTATTTTCCAAAGTAGGCTTAACATCCCTTATAATACAATCTCCAATACAATATAAACAAAAATCTGTGATAAAGTAAAAACCCTTTCTCACTAAATGACAAAGGATGCTTCTCTGCACAAGGGGTGTCAATTGGACTGGATTTGGTCCAATCCGATCCAGTCCAGTGTGGGTCCATTACAATTGGACTAGGTCCAATCGAATCCAATGAATATTTTGGACCATTTTGGACCGGTCCAATTCAATGTCTGGAATGTCCAATCTGTTCAAATTTGTTTTAATTTAGATTGGTTTCAACCCAAACCTGGTCCATTGAACCTATATTCTTATCTCATATCATTGGACCAGATATTGGATTAATTCAACCCAATCCAATATAAATTTATTATGGATGGACCAGGTCCAATCCAATCTAATAAATATTTTGGCTATATCTTGTTGGTCTGTCCAATCCAGTCCATTGACACCCTTACTCTGCACTTAAAGTTTAAAATATCCTTATATATACCAGGTAGGATTTCTAAACAAGAACCAATGGTCAAATTGAATTTTTGTTCGCCTCATTCTTACTTTCTTAGAAATGTTGACTTTGTTAAATTTACCTTATTTGCACGTATTAACATGCGTCATGCCCTCTAATGTTTATAATTTCAATCCTATTTTGATGCAAATTATCTTTACAAGATGATCTCCAAAGGCTCTACAGTCTGAGACAAAAACAGAGTCCAAAAACAGGGCATCAAGGCATCAAGTCATTGCTATACAAAAGAGATCTATGGACTCCAGATTTTGCTGAAGTATCAGCTACAGCATTTTGTTCCCTGGGAACCCAACTGAAGGTTGCACCAGCAGAGGAAGCTATAACCCTTGCTGCTTTTGAAGCAGTATAAAAAGCAAACCAAATAACTCACCTGAAGTGGAATATATGTACCTGCCTTTTGGATCAAAGACAATACTATATAGACAAACATAGCGTTTTTTTTTTCACAGCTAAATGTTTAATCTCTCTAAAATGTAAATATTGCACTAGAACACATAGAAACATCGACATAGAATGACACTGCAAATTTACAGGTTCTTTTTCAGTCAACCATTCTTTATCAATATTACAACATCACTAGATATTCAAATATCCCGTGCGTTCAATCTGCTAGTGTATCATATGCATAAAGGCTTCCAAACAGCTCATGCTGCTACGAGTTTGGATGGGCTCATGGGCTCACCACAAGACACTAGCCGCACATGGTGGGGGAGCATATCTCATTGTGGCTGCAGGGTCATGTGATGTGGCCAGCATTTTGAAGTTAGCACTAGCAGATCCAGACTCCCAATGCGCACGGATCACTGGCGTGTTCGCTGTTGATTGGCTACCTCAACCTATGTACACGCCTCTGTTTGTAGCAGGTCTGCAGTATGGCATTGATTACATTTATTCTTAAAAAAATAGCTAAATCTAGTATGGCATATAATGATATAACAAACCCACAAAGCACAATAACCCATGTATGATTCAATGTCAATGGAGGAAGGAAGAGGAAAAAACAGAAGAATTTCATTGTCATCATCATCATAATCACTTCATCAGTTAACCAATCGGCAGTAGTTCCTTATCTCTCCTAGGTTTCCCGTTAGTACCTCAATTCTCCCCATCCGAGTCATGGCTCTGCCAAATTTCTGGGACCAACTAGTGGGATTAAGGGAAAACTCTTCCACAATCTTACTGGTATTTCTGTCTTTCATTAGAGCCTGATCTGATTCCAACAACCCTCTCCCGAGCTTGAGACCCAGGTAGTACTTGTTATCCAGCGTCGTGGGAGAGGCCTGGTCGAATGGGATGGTTGCTTCACTGAAGTAATCTGCCATGAAAGTCCCGGGCATTGGGCAACTTACCTTTAAGTAAGAAGCAAATATGTAATCCAAACTTGGGTCTTGCAACACTGTTGGGCTATATTTGTATAGCCTGTAGGCGAAGGTAGGGCAGTGAGCAACGCCTATGGAGTGTGCCCCGGAGAGCGTGACCATCTCTTCCTGGCTGAGTCCCTTCCTGGCGAAGAGCTTCGTTAGTTCGTCAACTGTTGCAGTGGGTTTAGGAAGTTCGGTGGCTGCGTCAGCGGCTCGGGAGGACCGACCATCGCGGCGACCTGCTGGGACTTTGTAGGGAATGAGGCCTACAATGACAGCAGCGTCGCGGGCTGCAAACGCCAGGATGTCAGCGCAAGACACAATGCCAGGGCAGAATTGCTCTACACGGGCTTTGATCTCGTCGATCACCTCCAATCCCCGTAGCGATTTGTAATTGCCCGTGGCTTCCTTCTCTACTGGCTCTCCAGACGGGGTGGCATCCAACAGAATTGAGGCATCGCAACCCTGTGAATTCACATTTCACAAGTAACAATTGTCCCTTGTCAGTCACGGCTTCAAAGTTCAAATGAAGGTTTGATACTTTGGTCATCTATCACTTTGCATCTTCTTTTTTTTTTTTTTTTATTTTTTCTCTGAGAAATGTAACAATGTGCAATCTCCATCTGATGAGTGATGACATACCATCCATGGCAGATAGTCATCAGATACCATGCCACCACTCATCACTTCAAACAAATGCAACCCATCTAAGGGTAAGCAACATTAGATGATCCTAGCACCACCCACAGCGTTAATAACGCATCTAATGTCCAAGAGAAGCCTCAAGATTAGTGCTATAGTTACAAAGCTAGCTCTCTGCACGTATATATTTTGTGCTTGCTTGACAAAGCAAAATACAAGCTCCAAGTTTTTTTAGATATAAATCAGCCATTGCCCAATGTTGTGGTTCTAGCTATCTGGGTCTTCTTAGGAGGGGTGGGTTGAATATGGACCCTTATCATTGCACTTTTCCTTCCACTGCAACAAGCAATGGCCCTGCAAGCTAATCTAAACATCTCTCTCTCACACACACACACAACATTTTAAGCTCAAAACAGACAAAGATCGTAATTTGTAAAGAGAAAGAGAAGGGAACTAACATTGACAAAGCAGTCATGGAAATGCAGTCGAATAAGGCCTGCGGCCACGCCCGCATTTTTGTTCACGGCTTGCGCCACTACCAGACGTGTAATCGTCTCCACCTGCGGGCAGGTCTTGTTATAGAATCCAAAATGTAAATGGTTGCCGTCAAGATCAATATCTTCCGACAGAACGAGGAGGCAATGCAAGAGAAAGAAGGTTGTTGTAATGACGGAACCGGCCTTCATGTTGATTGGAATTGGTGATGATGGCCGGCTAATTTGGAACGACAACAATTCAAGAATTTATACCAAGAGCAGAGCATAGATTTCTCCTTGTTTTATGGATACAAAGTTGGCACCCGCGTAGAAGGAGTCTTTGGTTGTTAGGGTGGACGTTTTTCATGAATTTGGTGGTCGGAGACGGTCGGCCAATTTAGTTTGACGTTTCCCCAACTAACAAACACACGACTACACGATTAGCTAATTTCAACAATGTTTTTTTTTTTACTAATTCTACATCAATTATCTTTTTCTTTTGCAGTTAGTTATTTTTGGACAAACTTTGTTTATATTCTCAAGAAAACCCTTCCATTAAAAATACATAAAAGTCATTCTTATTCGTGCTGATCTTTATTTACTACTCACTTCTGTTTTGGTCCACTCTGTTTTTCCTTTTCGGTTCCCCTATTACTCTTGTTTGATCTCGATCTACTTGGGTAACATGATCGTCTGATTTGCTCGCTTGACCATTACTGCCCTACCCTCTGGTCCTTGTCATACACGAAATGTCACAGCTGGGCCTGGACATGAAAACCCACTGGGTGGCCCAATTTTGTTTATTTCACAGAGGTGTGCAGATAGGGGTGCAAGTCGGGTGGGTTGGGTCGGGTTTATGGTCAACCCAGGCCCGGTCCTAAAATTTAGGTTTAAGGCCTGAGCCCGAGGTCAAGCCCAACTTTCTCAATCCGAACCCAGTCCTCCTTGTAATTTGATGTATTCGGATTGGTCAATGGATCCCTCTAAATTATACATATATAAATATATTTATGCAAATATATATACATATATTTATATATACAAATATGTATACACATATATGTATAAATGTATATAATTAGGTCGGGCTTGGGCCGGGTTCAGACTACCTAAGGGCTAGGCCTGAGCCCGTCCTGAAAAATAAAAAAGCCTGACTTTTTGGGCCCGAGCCCAGCCCAAGGATCGATTCGGGCTCGGGCTGGGCCCGCCCAAGTTGCACCCCTATGTGCAGACTGGATCAGATCTAGTAGGCACAATATAAATAAATACATTAAACGAGCATTTAATAAGTATTTTGAAAATTGTTAAAAGTGGGTTTTAATCATTTAATAAGTATATATATTGAGTTATTAAATAATCTCTTCAAAATCCATTTCCATTTTCAAGGAAAAGATCGGAAATGGAGAAAGAAAGAAAACAGTGGATTTTTACCCATTAAAGGCAGTGAAGACCAATTTATGAAATAGGATGCCTTTGGCTTGCATGAGATATTCTATATCACATACATGTATACAGGTGTGGTCAATATGATGCCACCTTCTGAAGAAATTACATTTGTGTGGTGGCAAGTCCAACTGGGTACGGTTTTAAACCAAATACGAGTAGACAAGCTGTACAGCTAAGAGGGCCCTGAAAACAATTGATTCAGACAAGAGCTAATTGGTTCATGTGATGTACACAATTATTCTTTTCCACTGTACGTGCCACTACTGCTTAGCTAGCCCATGGGCCATGGCGCTTTATTGCAAGGTCGGAGAGTCCCAAGTCCCAACCTGCTACCTCCCCACGCCCCAACCACATACTTGTTCATGTAATAAGATAAAAACGATTCTATTTCTCTGCGTCAACAATTTCTTTTTTTTTTTTTTTTTTCCTTTTGAAAGAGAGGGCACACAGCAGGGACAGAGGGATACCTATCCCTACCTTCTACTTCTAGACGTGAGCTATCTGGAAACTGACAAAAGGTCATGTCACCTTCTGCTGGATTTGGATTACCCTTCTCTCCACAGTTTAATTTTGAGTTACTCTGTCAACCAAATTCCTGTATAAAGTTGGAGTGTTGTTGCAAAAGGTCATTTGTGCAATCTGCAAAGAGCTGTCACCCTGCTGCTTCTGCTTCTGGGTTGGGGCCTGGTGCTTGGTGGGCTCATCACCAGTGATCACGACCATCCATATGAGTCATGGTGCTGGGTTTCGAATTTAGATCGTGTTGATTGATTGTGTTGGCACTATCACATGGGCTAATCCTGATGCAGTCATACAGTGTCATTGCTTCTCAGTTCTCACCCGTAAGTCTTAATAACAGCTAGCTTCTGGTTCTGATGAGTATATAGATGATGACTCTTTGCAACATTATCTTGTTCTTGTGATCGACACAAGAGATAAGCCTCTCTGTCTCTGTCTCTCTCTGGTCTGCTTTTCTTTTTTCAAATTGTTTCAACTTTCAACTTTGAACCTTAGAAGAGTTATGCTGGCTAAATCTCGGTTCTGGCACAAAGGACACGTAGATTGGCTGAACCCAAAATTACCGATTCAAGCAAGTCCAAGAACTGCACCCAGCCCAGCCCGGTCTGGAAATCAAATTGACAGACTGAGAGACTGCGCCACTGGGACCTAAGACTGGCCCAGCAACAATTCAGGCGTAAGCCCTGATACCAAGGCTCAGGTAGGTATTCATACTAGTCGCACCTATCGTACGTTTGTTACAGAATGGGTCTATCTCTGAATTTTCATCAGCAAATTCCCAGTCTAGAATAGAATGCCGTCAACTTGTATTATGGCTTCAAGGTGAAGCTTTTAGGTCCATCACCATTCACTACTACTCCTGGCTAAGGAATTCCAAGTTCCAACCATCCCATTTGGGCCAAAGATCCCATCAGACCATCAAATTCCAAGCTCGATAGACACCTCTAGCTCGTACAACTATGCATTGGAAATATCTCCCCTATCATCTCATTCATGAGAGATGTTCCCGATACATGGTGATGATGCTGTAGCAGATCCCGAGTCAACCTCGGGGTAGTTCAGTCTGTTTGCTGGGTTCAGATTTGGAACAATATCATAATTCACACCATTGGGAAACTGAAACTTTGTCATGTGTTTCAGTGGTTCTTGGTTCTTGATCAAGGCTCTCCGGAGATTAGACTGCACAGGTTATCTGATTGATGAGATTATTTTAGCCAAATATTTGATAACCCATGTTTATGGCATCCATAACTGGTTAGTAGACTGCAGTAGTGAAGGTTTATATGTATTAATTCTTGAAAGCTATTAATATTGTAAATAATTGTACTTTTTTTAAACTACCACATAAAAGTTATTTTGAACTCTGGAAGATGAAAGTGACCATTGTCCTTCTATATGGAGCTCTGAAAAAGCCTACCATCCTGTGAGTATAGGAATATTGTATTATAGGTTTCCTTGTTTTTTGCTTCTCTTTATATTATAAGCGATTTCTGTACTGTGGTTAAGAATTTTTTTTTTCTTCCGAGCTCTGACTACATAATTTGAGTATACCATTAAACCCCAATCTTTCATCTTATAAGAGAAGAATCAGTACTTTATTTCAAAAAATCCTACTGAAAACTCAATATTATCAGTGGGTTCTCGTGTTCTCTGTCTTATACAAATCTTTAGGGGGCGTTTGGGTTATCAAAAAAAGGGAGCATTTGGCATGTCTTTTCTGCAGTCTTTTGGGCTTTTCCAAGTTTGGAAGACCAAAGGTTAGCCTTTCTCCTTTTAGCAATGAAAGATGATATAGGTGAATATGGAAAGTCCCAGATGGCACCATGTGGCATCGACCGGATGAGATCCTAGCCGTTCATCTCTAATTGCCTCCAACCACTCTATGGCAAGGTTAAGTATAAAAGGGGGTGCCCAGCTCAAGGTAAAATCATCTTGTTCACTCTTGCTCTCTTGCATTCTTGCTTCCAAGCGACCTCGTCTCAACCCTGGTCCGACCCCTCTCAAGCACTTGACTAACTTGACCATCAGAGTCTCCGCCCTTGGGATAATACCCAGGGCCTCTGACATGTGCTATTTGCTTATTCTCATGTTGGATTCATCGGCTTTGGCTAGAAGCGAAGTTACCTTGTTTCCCTTGGCCCCATCCTAGGCATTAACAAAAGATATAAAGCTAGAAAGACCTATGCCCTAAAAAGCTCATAAAAGACCAAAATGGCAAAAATTTTAGGGCCTGTTTGGTGCGCCTTTCCATGTGATCTTTCGGCTGTTTACAAGCCAGGAAGACCGACTTTTGGTCTATTTCCGTTTGGTGCACGGAAGATCTAGCCGCCAAAAGATGGAACACCGAAAAGACGCAAAAAACCCATTTTGGGAAGCTCCAAATGAAGCTTCTTACGTCTTTCGCGTTTTAGTCTTGCGTAGAAAGAAGCGGAAAGACAGACATCTGCCAAACGTGCTTCAGGCTGCTCAGATCTTCATGCAAAAGCTCAATGCGTCTTGTGACTGTCAAATCTAAGCTTCTTGTCTTTCTGCCTAAAATCTTTCATCTCATATCTTGAAAGATCATGGCATATTAGGATACTTACCAAATGTTCTTAGATGTTTAAAGACAAGACCCTAAAAGTTCATTATGTCTTTGTCCATCTGAGCTAAACGACTTGTCAAACAACCCCTTAGTCTTTTTTATTTCTTTGCTTATTAGGATAAAATAGTTATATGCATGTAAAGCCATAATTCCTTGCAAATAGGGGCAGATACCAATGGAGCTAAGCTGAATATTAGATTATTCGAGCTTAGCTCAACAACAATTCAAAAGCTAATTAAGGGGGCATTCTACAACAAGAATGTGTTTGCTTTCATTTGTTTTTGGAATTACCACATCAGCGAAAAAAAAAACATGTTCTTGAACTTTATTTTTTATTTCAAAGTGAAAAACAAATTGGTTTTGTTTTGAAAAACAATACATGCATGTTTTTGGAACCAACAAAATATCGGTTTTTAAAACAAAAAACAATATTTCTAGTATAAAAATTAGGGAAAATTCCTGATTAGTACCATGTACTTTGGGTCTAGTGCCACTTTAGTCCCTGAACTTTAAAATGCGATAATTCAGTACCCGAACTTTCAAAACATAACAATCCAGTATCTGTTGTTAACTAACTATTAACCAACCACAAAGTGGCATTTGAAAAAGACACAAATGCCCTTCGAGTGTCATATAATTTTCTTTATCAACCATCCAAACATTGACAAAAAATTAACAGTCTCAAATCCTTGCCTCTTCTATTCAAGAAAGTTGGAGTCACCAGAATGCCCACTCAAACGTGACCCCAACTTTCTTGAATGGAAAAGGCAAAGATTTGGGACTGTTAATTTTTTGTCAATGTTTGGATGGTTGATAAAGAAAATTAAGACTCAGTTTGGAAAGAGTACAAATACAAATATGTACGGTGCAAAT